TCCCCCTGTTCCTTAGCCCCCCCCCCCCCCGTCTCTTTATATATTTAAGGTTCCCCCCCCTGCACCTTAATCCCCCTTCAGGGCCTCCCCAAGTGGGGAGGGACTATGGATTTTTAGGGGTGTCTTCTCCCCAAACGTCTCCCTACCCCCCTGCACCTTAATCCCCCTTCAGGGCCTCCCCAAGTGGGGAGGGACTATGGATTTTTAGGGGTGTCTTCTCCCCAAACGTCTCCCTAACTATGAAGATTGTGGGGGATCCCCACCCCCACAGTGGGCACCCTGCCCCTTTCTGTACGGGGCGATTTTGCAGGGAACCCCAGTTCCAACATCCCCACACCTCAGAATCTGCTTTTGGGGGCAGGGGAATCATCCCCAGAAATGCTCAGAGTTGCAGTCCCGCTCCCACACTGTAGGTGTTTTGGGGTGCCTTTTTCCCTCCTCAGTTTTTATTTGGGGCGACTATAATTTTGCCAACTGTCATCAACGGTCATGTTTTGTATTTTGGGGTCTTGGCATCTTTCTGCCTGGAATTATTTGGCATAATAAGATGCATTTGGGGGATTCACCCCAGTCTTAGACCCCCATGAGGTGGAAGGGTTGTGCACCCCATTTTTGCAAAAGAAATGAAGGTCTCTGTGGGGGATATTGAGCTCCTTAGCCCCAAATGATGCAACTAGTTAGGAAAGTGGGGGAACACTAGAGCTATGGGGAGAAGTCCCAACTATTGCTGTAGGTTATAAGGGGGCCAACTAAGCTGGGGGTGGATTATAGGGGAGCAGCTCCCCGAGGGCAGCTAGGTATGAGGTGGGAGAAAAGGGGGGCAGCTGAGCTGGGGGATGGAATTTGGGGGGCAACTGGGTTGTGGGTTGTGGGGGGGCATCTTTTATTTTTCCTGGGTCCCTGTGCGAGGAACTGGGCCATTGCAAGAAGCTGTTATGTAACCCCCCACATGCTGTAGCACCCCCCACATGGAGGTGAGGGGGGGCTGTCTCCTATACGGCCCCTTGTGGGGGAAGGGAGGAAGCGAGGGAGCGGGGATATGGCAGGTGTTTGTGGGGAGCAATTGCTTGGGGGCAGGGAAGGTGCGTGGGGGGAGCATGTGTCCCTCCCACCCTTTGTTTTCTTTCTCCCTCCTCCACATATGATCTGTTCTAGCTCTGCCCCCCCTCCCGACTTGTCTCCCCCTTCCTCCATGGCAACCCCCACTCCGCTCCTCTTCCAGCCATCCTGCCCTGAGAGGAGCTGGTGCAGTTCAGGGGCCTGGTGTGGTTCTGAGGCCATTAGGGTCTGTCTGTCCCCGCCCCTCAGTAACTAGAACCTACACGCAACAGACAGTGCGGAGAAGCCCTCCTATCCCGCCCCAGGGCAGGGTATGAGGCTGGGAGCCTGGGCCTTCTAGGGGGCACCAGGTCAGATCCAGTCCCAGGGCAGGGGCTAGGGGCCTTGCCCCTCTAGGGGGCACCAGGTCAGATCCCACCCCAGGCTTGGGTGCAGTTTGTTCGGGGCTCCCTGGGCCTGGGCCTGGGCCTGGGCCTGGGCCCCCAACCCCCCACATGGGCTCCCTCTCTCCCTCCCATCCCCTTGATAAAGTCCTGCCTCCAAATCTGTCCCCAGGGCATAGGAGGGGAGCTGCCCCTTTTCCCAGCAATCCCACAGCCTCTGTGGGCAGTGCCAGGATGGGGAGGCTGGGGATATTCAAGGTGTAAATCAGGGGCTGCAGGGAGGGATGGGGTCATTGGAAGAAGCATCTAAGCAGGTGTGAATTATTGATGGGGAAACCTGATCCATGGAGATTGTTGCTCTGCAGGCTGCTAAAGCCAGAGGGGATGGGATTACACAGCGTGGGGAGAGAACAGGACTGGATGGCTCAGGGCAAAGGTGCAGCTACCTCTGGGGGGGGGGGGGGGGCGGGGGCAAAGGGGCAGCCACCTGTGGGGGGGGGGGGGCAGCATGTCAGTGCCTGGTGAGCTGTCCCTGTGCAGCATTATATGCGGTTGCTCCCCAGCTGCCTTTCCCCAGAGCTGGCTGCATCTCTGCACTGTCCCTGTGCAGCGTTACGTGCGGCTGTTCCCCGGCTGCCTCGCCCCAGAGCTGGCTGCATCTCCGCACTGTCCCTGTGCAGCGTTACCTGTGGCTGCTCCCCAGCTGCCTTTCCCCAGAGCTCCTTTCCCAGAGCTGGCTGCATCTCCACTCTCTCCCCATGCAGCATCTCGCACCAGGGGAGCGCTTTGGGCTCCTTTTGGAAGTTGGTATATTGGAGCTGACAGCTGTCTGGTTTGTCCCCGCAGGCCCGCAGCACGGACAGTCTGGATGGGACGGGGGATGGGCCACTCCGCCCCCTGGGGAACACAACTACCAGTGTCAAGGGCAAAGGCTCCAAGAGGTAAGCTGGGGACCCTGCTCTGCGATGGGGTGGCTGCGTTGTCACAGCAAGGCCACCCCCAGTGGTGAGTAGGGCAGCATGTGGGTCTGGCCTGGGTTCTCTGCAGGGGTCCCCATGGGCAGGGAGCTCTGACCCCAGGCTCCCCTCTCCTGGGCACCTGCCCCATGGGAGTCCAGGTAGAAGGACACAATAGAAAGGTCAATGTCCTCAAATACCTGGGCTGGGCCATAGCTTGGGGGCAGGGCCTGCCAGAACTGAGTGTGGGGGTTCC